GATATCAGTTACCAAGGTCGACAGATTGGTGAACATACGAATACTCGTTATTTCTGAGGGAACCTTATCCACTGTTTGTACATGCTAATGGTGATGAAGTCACACGCGCTCCGCAAAAGTGGATTTATAAAGCAAAACATTGCGTATGTGGAAATTGATACAATTTCGTACGGTTTTCAGGCTTACTCGCGGTATTAAATGCCAACGTTTCACGTGGGGATTACGTCAAGAAGATTTTCCGCGCCGCATAAGTTCAATTACATTTTTCTCTTCGCGATGCGATCTCAGCCAATATTGTTTCGTTTTGCAGTGTAATTTATGAGGCCGTTATGCTCATCTTCCGTCGTCACGGTGGTTTATTTCCAACAGAAAAATAAATTTTTCTCCGTATTCCGTTTTCAAAAATAACATTTCCTTTCTTAAGTGAATTTAATCGTTTCTTAGATGTTTATGCTCGCGTAATGAATTGATTTTTTTTCTCTTTTTTTGATACTTGGTAATTTATAATTGCGCTTATAAGTGCGAACTTTACTTGCGTGATGTTCGCAAATTATTTTGCAACGATTATCGTTGAAAGAAGAAACCACGGATTAAAATTTATCGCGTAATATCCCAGATAGCAAGATATCTACTTGACGTAATTAATTGGTCATTCTTAACGAATCTGACGTTCTATCATCGTAAAAGTAAAATGAATTTGTCACATAACGTCACATAACGTCACATTAAGCCACATAACGTCATATTAACCAACATCGAAAATACGGCATTATTTACGGTATTATTAACGGCATAAATGATATTATTAATTGATCACTAATAACATTACTAATATATCGTCGATTAATCCTTTATCTGACGTCAAGTATGACGTTGTAAATAAATGACGTCATTAATTGATAAAAAAGATAACGTCATTATTATATCTTAAATAGATCTTAAATAAATCACATGTCGTCGATAATTCAAAATAACTAAATATTGACGTCAAAATGATTACAATTTGCTATCTAGGATAAATCCGCCTCCAACAAAGATTTTAGAAACCTTTTGAAATTTAAAATACAATTTTGTGCTAAAAACAAAAGAATGTAAGAGACAAAAGAAGCAGAGATTGCAGTTAGCTTTTTCTAAGAACTTTAATGCAAAATTTTAAAAAGTTTGCCACAAACGACCTCCATTTTATTTAAAATTGTCAAAGCATCGACTTTTAAGATACTATTCGGTATCATATATGTCCTGCACGTTCACTATAAAATATCGAAAACTCAATCAACCCTATCTTGAATCCATTCTTCGTATTTGCTACGACATTTGCGTAAGTGAAAAAAGAAGAGAATGAAAGAAATTCTCTGTTTGAATTCTCAATTTTTGCATAGAAGTACGCTTTCATCTGACATCTTACGTCACCTGATGTGTATAAAAGAGACAGAGGGCAAAGAGACGCGGAAATAGCAAGTACAGCAAGTACAAAGCGTGTTACTCTCTCGATTCATAAATACTTTACAATTATTCGGCATTCTCTTAAAAAAAAAAGAAAAAAAATGACATTATCGCAGTTTTTTCCCAATGATTTGATGCTGATAAATGATCTTCTAATTTAATTCAGCCAAGTAATCACGACAGATTCGTTCAATCGCGGTTTTATTAGCGAGTTAACGATACGTATTTATGTAGGCGTTATCGAGGGAGAAGAAAAACGACCAAGCATGAGATGGCGAATAACGAAAGAGATGTGGAAAAAAAGGTAAAATCGAGCAGAGAGAGAGAGAGAGAGAGAGAGAGAGAGAGAGAGAGAGAGAGAGAGAGAGAGAGAGAGAGAGAGAGAGAGAGAGAGAAATGAGCTAGAATCGGAAGTGAGATAGGATAGTGTAACGGAGTGTGAAACCCCCCACGCTGGAAAAGGGTGCACGCGGGGAAGGGGGGGGGGAGAACGAGATGGTCCAGCGGACTGTTCGCTCTTGGATATGGGACGTCGTGGCGTCTCTCCGTCTGGTGGCACACAAAAAGCGTCTTTGTATACGCTTCTTTCAACGCTCCCCTCCTGCTCTATCACGAATTGTCACCAATCGTCACCGAGTCATCCATCAATTCATTTTTTCCCCGTTTTATCATCACGACGCGAAGTCTCGTGGTGGCGGGGAATGCCCGTTCCTCGTGATCCTTCATTCATTAATTACCACGAGATATTTCTCTTTTTCTATCCTTCGACACTATTTCGCTTCATCGCGATAAAGGATTTGCCCGTGAGTTCTTCGATAATTCCCGTAAATATTCCCGAATTATTTGTACAAAATTTTATACATGTGATGTGACGGTAATATCAGAAATAAAAGATAAGAAAGGATGATATTTAGTAAAATGTCCATTCGCTTCGGTCAGAAATTGTTTCCTCTCAAATGTCGATCAAAATGTTTTTTTTTCTAAAAAAATGTTTTCGAGTTTTTTGTTTCTGTCTCAGCCAGGATAGAGTATTATTACTTCACGCCAAATCGTAAAATTGATCCATTTTTGTTTATTGCGCCTACATCGTTAGATGTTTTATCGTTTTAATTTAGTTTACTGTTTGACTTGTACTGATAATAACACACGCAATAGAAACATTCTACGATTAATAGATTAACGTAGAAGCATTTAAGAAATTATTATCCTAGAAGAAAAACTTGGCTTGGTGAAGAGAGTATCGTTAGAATTTAACGTTAAATGAAAATACTTATCACAAAATCACGAAATCGCCCTTTCGTTCACGGTCATCATATACATATGTGTCTAACTGGCAGCGAATAAAGAAACTTTATGCATTCTCTGGCGACTACTAGGACCAGACGTAATGTCTCCAGCATTCGCAACAGTTACATTTGTCCTTTGATATGTATACGCGGTTCGTTAGTTCTACTTGACAATACACATACAGTATATCAACTCGCAAAACTAACTTACAGTTCTGATACGTGACCAAGAAACGCGAACGAGATTTTCATGATAAAAGTAGATTTCCTCTTGCAAAATGCTTGGAAAGCGTAACGCGTGACTAACTCTCGACAATACTATAAATATAAAGTTAATTTAGTAAGTAAATAATTATTTACAACTCCATTGAATATTTTTATTAATATAATCTTATCACAACGTAATAGTTGATATATATAATGCAAATTTTTAAGATGATATTTTTCAAAGATGCCTCAAAGGTTTTAATTATAAATAATATATTTGTATATTATTTTATATCATAAATTTCAAAATGTGATGTTTTTTCTAAAATGCTATATACTACATTTCTAATTGGACAATAATTCGTCATTTTTTTAAATTTCATTCTATCGAGCCATATAATATAATATTTTTATAATAAATTATTCGTCATTTTTTATTCAGTTTAACATGTTCACGATGTCATGTTTCATAGTATGGCCTGTTTGACATGATATTTCGCATACCATAGAACACATTGCTACAACGATGATATGTCAAACTTGTAGCCTATTCGACAAACTGTTGCTGCGAACGCGATGACACATATTGTCAGAAGCCTGGCTCAATCAATATCCATTTTATGTCAGTTTTTACTTTTGACATGACTCAATTCGCAAAAGTGTTGTAAACCCCATGACAGAACCGTTTTAATGTAACTCTTTCGATCACAAACTCGATGCAAAGAAATATCCGAGTAAAGAATATATTTATGCAAAGAATAGATTTATTTTAATTTGAGATTCCGTAGTACTTCTATTATCCTCAAAATTTATCATTTATAAATATCAATTTTTTTTTTAAATGCTGAAAGAGAAAGAAATACTTCAACATTTTTAACGCGTCCTCGTGGATGCGAACATGAATAGGTGGAACAGGTAGAATACGAACTTTGTGCGTCATCGCGGGAATAGAAATCAATTTGAAAATCTCGCGTCTAAATTTTTATTGAGGAACTACCTTCTTTCTTTCTCTCTTTCTCTTATTGTTATTGCGAAAATAATTTGGATCGAACGGCATCGATATACTCGAGTGGTAGCTCGATAACATTAATTCAAAAATTTTGCGAAAACACATACATCTCAGGCGTATGTACATTACGGTGCATCAGCGGAACGAGATGTACTTTTCCGTCCTCGGTTTCAATTGCTATCTCGTTGCGAATACGAAACTAAAACTCGAAAATGTATCCCGAGCACCCTGCGTCTGGTCCACAATGATCGACGACTAGGTAATCTTCCATAAACAAGCCGCTTCCCGAACTTTTCTCCATCAAGCTTTTTATAGCTTTTTGATACCGATACCTTTATAACCGGCGTTACTAAATCGCGAGTGTTTTAACAAATTGTTCTGTAATCTTATTTATTAAATTTAAAACGCGGAAGCCGTCTAAAAAAATAGGGAACACAAGAAACGTCGCACTTTTTTGCGTAGCCTGAACATTTTTCCCGTCTGCGAAATATTCACACTTTTTATTCTCTAATTCGCGAAAATTACTTTCAATTGTCAAAATAAATTGAAAGTAATTACCACGATTATGAGAATAAATTTTTCCTCGCTTCGTTATGCTGTTAGTAAAAGAAGAAAAAAAAAGAAATCGATATCATTTACGTTTAAACATTCAACTGAGCCGGTCTTTACAAATTTCCATCCAGAGAAAAAAATGAGATATAAAATGCGATTAAAAAAAGAAAAAGAAGGGAAGACGGAGAGAAAGAAAGTGCGTTCAACTGGTAGAGTATACATTAGTCAATGACTTTAATTATTCATGAACAATACTCACGACCGTCATCTTGCTGATGAAACCTTTTCCTTTGTTGTCTCTAGCTGTGTAATCACGGTAGCACTGATCCCGTCAGTCTTCGGGGCCCGCTTTTAGTCTTCTCTTCTTCTTCTTCACAAGTCGCGGATCTCGTTACGAATGACAACTATCGCCGGGCGATCAGTGGATGTAGTGGGGATGATTCTCGTCGTGTGGTGGTTGGTAGCAGGGGGTACGTTTTGGTACCGTGAAATAGCCAGAAGAGATCAGAAAGAGCTCTGAGAGTTTCGAGGTCAGAGGGCGAATGATTGGTGGTACTCGCGCGGGCTACATTTATACCACGGGCTCGCTCTCTCTTTCTCTCTCTCTTTCTCTCTCTAGCACTCTCTCATCCCCCTCGCCTCTTTCCTACCCTCTACTCTTTCCTATCCCCCCGTTCTTCGTGGAGCCTGCGAAAGAGCGAGAGCGGATCGGCTCTCTCTGGTGGGCGCCACGTATCCACCACCACCACCGTCATGTTAACCGATGGATGTACGCATTCCTCCTCTGCTCGTCCTCCTGCTTGTCTGCATGAGAGTGCGTATCCTGGCACCGTATCCTTTTACGTCATCATCATCATTGCGGCCTCCGCCCAAAAGGTACGATAGGATAGAGAGTGAGAGAAAAGAGAGAAGGGATTGAATTTTGTTTCGTGCAAAGCTGAAATGAAAAGAGCTCGCGACTAAGAGCTCTAGAGATGTCATTGTTGCAAGAGCGGACGCACATGCTTGAGATACAAATGACTCATAAATTACATTCTCACAAAAGTACAAGGGGATTTTCATTATTGTAGTATGAAGGGTGACCGGATAAGGGCGGAAGATACAGTTGCAGTAGATTTCCTCCGAATGCGCTTCTATCGACAGCCTGAGGATCGTCTATTTTCTTAGTTTTTATAAAAAATTACTAGGTACTTTAGTGCCGTAAGATATTACCTTATTGTCGGGAAAATCAGGAATTCTTTTTTATCTTTTAACTTTGACATTTCTACTTGATTTTTACGAGTAAAATATATCGAATACATGCTGTCAAAAGTTACAGCGGTTCCATTATTTAGCTTTTTTATAAAATATAAAGGGGGATCTTTCAACTCATCGCAAAAAATAATCTTGTACCCGTATTTTGAAGTTTAATATTTAAGAAAATGTATATATATATATATATATCT